CCTCAAATCGAGAAGGCCATATTCCCCCATGTCGGCTTGCACGACAAATTTGACCAGACCGTCTGGAAACCGCAAGCGAAGGGGCTAGCACTTTCCACGAGCGTTCTGGAGGGACCGTGGAAGAACTTTGAAGAAATGGTTTCTGCATCCATGCCGCCATTAGGAAACATACGCTCAAGTTGCTCGAGGCTCATATTATCGATAGTTTGAGGGTCACGAGTCGAAGAATCGCATGCGTATGACTTTCAAGGCATCGATACATCCCGAATTCCTTTGATAACTGGATCGATGAACATTTCCAAAATTGCAGAATTGCAAAATCTTCCGTAGAACTATTTTTTTTTATTCGCCCATACTAATTATTCAGTCTGAAAGGGGATTCGTCACGAAGAGTCATATCACCCCAATGGCCATATTCCCCCAAGTACCCTAATGAAAAAAATATATTAAAAGAAAAGCATTAAATAATAAGTTAAAAAGCAAAGCGCAAAGAAGTGGAATGGATATAAAGGGTCGGGGGACGGGGAACTTCACTCGAGAGTGAGTTCTTTCCTCATTTTTACCGGCAGATACAGGGTGATGCACAAAAATGGTTCACATTTCATTCAATTATATTTTCATTATTTAGAAATATAGAAAATTAAATGATATGTCATCTGATAGAAAAACTCAAAACCTGTTTCAGCAGCGTGCCTATGAAGTCCGAATGGGATTGGGGGGGGGGGGGGGTTGACATATAAAACACTGATTTTTTTTGTGGCCAAATTAAAAAATTAGTGAGAATGGAACTTGTAAGATTGACCCCAAGGGAGGCGTTATGACCCCCAAACTCTCTCCCCCCCCCCACCTTGGGCACGAAACAGCCTTTTTTATGCTGAAAAACATGTTCGAAGTGTTCACCGTTCCTTTGAATAATCTGTCAGGAACGTTGAGCAATGTTTTGAATGAGCGTCTCTCGTGTCATGCCTCTGAACGTTTCAGTTCGTCGATGGTGGGCCGATTTGTGGAGAATACCTTTTCTTTGAGGAAACTCGATTTGAAAAAGGGGTCGGTCTGGAGATCATGCCGGCCGCGAGATGTTTCCTCTCGTACTGATAACGCTTTCTCTGCAAATTTATCGACGATATTCTTAATCGTTGGATTCGATGTTTTATCGAGAAACCGTCGTCTACATTCAATCTTCAACGTAACAGGTGAATGGATTTCAATGTAACAGGTGAATGCATTTTAAGAAATTCATGCACGATGATTCCTTTAGCTCTGCTTTTTTCTGATAAAACGCCTCCATCAAATCAAACGATTCGTTCGTTGATAAGTTTTAAGAGAAAGCGTCACGAGTATGAGAAACGAAATCTCGCAGTCAGCAACATCTCCTGATCTTAGACCGACAATTTTTTTTTTAAATGGGGTTTCCTCAAAGAACAAGGTGCCCTCCACAAAGTCACACACCATCGACGAACTCAAACGTTCTGCGATTCCAGCGCTCAGAGCCGCAAGAAACACCAAACACGGATGTACGTTACAGACAGATGATTAAAATAAACTTTTTGGAGCGCACCTTGTTCTTTGAGGAAACCCCAAATAAAATAAAACTATAATATGAACCATATATCTGATGCAGGAGAAGAAAGAAGAGGCAGAAGGTAGAGTTTTCTGATACTCTGGAGATGGAAGAAGTTGAAGAACCTTTGCGAAAGGAAGCCAGAACCACTGGGGAGGTGGACATGGGAGATGAGAAGCGAGCCATAACCTATGAGATTGCCAAAAACAAAGGACTCACTCCACATAAGAAGAAGGAGCTGCGAAACCCACGCGTGAAGCATCGTATGAAATTCCGTAGGGCCAAGATCCGCCGCCGAGGACAGGTCCGTTATACCTCTCTTTTTTTTTTTTT